ATTGGCTAGCCTGCCAGTCTTCTATTCAAAGTTTTGTTCCCACTTCAAGGGGGGAGAGAGAAGAATCGAGTTACAAAGCTGTTTTGGAACTGGGAAAACAAACTTGAAGAGAAAAAAAGAATCTAGACTGACTGTCATAGAAGAACTGTGGTTTGTATGAAAAAGATTTTCAAATCATAAAGACTGTACAAGACTATTTTCTACAACGGAGACAAAAAGCACAAGATACAACGTGAATTCTAGAAGCAAGCACGTGGCAGACATTGGCAAGCGTCCAAGCAAAGAACTGCGCAGCTGTGTGGATGAAGCAACGAAATAGACAGAAATAACTGATCTGGTGAGTAACATGGAATTCATAAATGATATTGCAGAGAAAAGTAAATTGCAGTTTGCATGTAATAGCAGCTATTCAGATGCTGTATTGTGGCAATCTTTATACACACAATGTGAAATTGCCAATAGTGAAATTGACAAGAAATTGTTTGTTAATAAGAAAAAACAAAGATCAGAAATGTTATGAAACTAGTCTGTACTTACAATGCATTGATTTGTAAACGAGATGCAGGTCAAGAAAATTTTGAATCATCAGAAAAAGAAGTAGATTTGAATGGGTTAACAGAAGACAAATCAGATTTAAATGAACAGTGTAACAAAGTAACAGAGAGAACATTGTCAGAAAAAGTCTGTGAATTAGAGGATAGAGTTGAACAAAGAAATGATTTGAGTTGCCAGCTTAGAAAAGCAGTTAAACTAGTGTGTGTTAATACAAGAAACATACAGGCACAGAATCTAATCCCAGAACCAATAGATACTGAAAATGTATCCTCACAGAGTGATTTGCAGAAATGTAAATTTCAAGATAGAGCTGCAAAACTTAATTTGAAAATCCATGAACAATTAATGAAAATTGTGAAATGTATTCCAGTTTATGACACGTCAGTGGATGCATTTACTAATGCTGAAATGTTTGAGTCTAATTTAGACAAATACAGCCTAAATGACGAACAAAGGAATAGACTATTTCAAATATGGCTGCCGACTCAAATGGCATGTAGGCTGACCGCGCCTGTAAAATTCGAGGACAATGATGAAATAATATATTGAAATAAGCAATACAGATTAACACAATTAATAAAATTAACAACAGGGAATGATTTTGCAGACACTGAAATGTTGGAAAAACTAAAACCACACAAGGGGGAGGATATATTTAGTTTTCTTGCAAAATTTGAAAGTGCATATAGACTTGTTGCTGATTTTTCTGAAGATCAGTTAATTAATGAATTTGTGAAAAAATTTCAAGATCTAGATCCAACTGCAATTGTGTTAGCTAGAGAAAAAAGCACTTTGACAGAAGTAGCTTTGTTCTTGGATAACTTAAGGAGGGAAACCAATAATGAAGGGGTTAAAATTACTTGTGGAATTAGGCAGAGAAAGAAGTGCAGATGTTACAGCCCTCGTCCCCCTCCTTCTTCTTCTTCTAGGACAGAGTATAGAGTGATACAGACAGCTGAGCCCCTCCCAATGTGTTCAACTAAAAACTGTAGAGTTAATCAAGGACAGAATATAACTCCTAAAGTTATTTGTTTTTGGTGCAATAAACAACATTATTTAAGATCTTGCAGATATTTTATCCGAGATATCAAATCAAAAGCAAATGAGAAATTAAATTTGTTTATTGAAAATTTTGACAGAGAAAATACACGTGGAGATAAATCAATAAAGGCCTTTCCTTGTAAACTTATAATCAGACAAATAAAAGCAATTTTAGCTAAATCGAAATTAAGAGACAGACAAGCAATGCAGTGTAACACAGAAAGTTATAAGAATCAGATAACTTCAAGAGATATGATCAGTTTAGGGAATGAGCATGGATATGTCTGCCAACAGATGTGCACAGGCTGATTCCAGAATTAAGAACAGCACAAGAATAGAGATCTATGTTAGTTTGTTGTTTTAAATGAATTGTTAGTCTGTACTGTTTTTCATTGTTTTATGTGTGTTATAAAAAAGTATTAGGTTAATTAATTAAAATAAAAAATTACATCAAGTTTGCAAATATGACAGAATGAAATACACTAATGTAGCAGTTAGGAACATGCAATGTTATATTGGGTGTATGCAATTATACGGTAACTCCAATCATTTTACAGAAGAAAAAACAATGGATATATTCCTTGTTGCTTCTGAGGTTGATTTAAAATCTTTGATTTAATTAATGAGAATGAGATTTTAATGTCATGACTGATAATGGATTACTATATTTTGCAAAGCCTGGACATATATATGTTTTGACTATTTAGAAGACAAAAGTTTTGATAGAATAAAACCTAGATTTACAAATACATTTGATGAAGGAAACAATATATGTTTTTTGTAGTTTGTTTCATGTGACAAAATGGTGCCAGTGTTAAGACAAAATGGCTGCTATTGCTAAAGTATAGTGGAAAACAATATTTAGTTGTAACATCTGATATGTGATTAGGTTATACCTCCAGATTATTAAACAGTTTAAAAGGGGGGTATGAGTAATAAAAAGTTTGAGAATTGGGAATTTACATGTTCAGAAAGATTTTAATATAAAAGGAAATTTAAAGATTATACATCACATGGCATAAATGTAATGACCACTAGATGGTAGATCTCATGAGAAGAAATGAGAATGTTGTGTAGTCCATGTAATTCAATGTTAAACTGTGTAATAATAATGAGATATAAACTTTGTAAGCCATTGTATTGATGCTGCACATGGTTTTTGTTTTAATGTAGGTAAAGCGTGACAGATCCTTGTGGCAATAAATCAGGAAAGCATTCCTTCAGACAACTGGACATCGACTGTAGGAAAGAGACTTTTCATCTGATCTGCAAACTGTGATGGAAGATTCTACAGAGTTCATTCGATACAGAAGATTAACAGACTTACAAAGAAATAAAAGATTGACACTAACATAAATATATCTTCCTAAATATTAATGAAGAAGAAAACAGACAATGAAACATTATTTAACAGTTATAAGTATTAATACCAAAAGAGACTACTTGCTCGTTTGAACCATAAGTTAGGCCCTCAGCCTCAGTCACGATTCGTTTGGCATCATCACGGTTTGGGTGCATTTCAATACTTACCAATTTGTACAGTTTTGCATGTGTTCAGCTGCTTTTGCATAGAGTCGCACGTACGCATTTTTCAGTTCTGTCTAGTAGGGGCTTTTGGTTCTTTCAACTGCACAAATAGGGATCTCGTTCGGCTCCTTTTGCGTACGCTAATATGAACTGGCTATTTGATATGTACTGGAAATGCACAAACACCTGTTTAAAGCATAGGATATTCGCACAATTCCTCCCGATTGTCTGTTATATCTAAAACCAGCAACTACACAAACAAATACAAATTGTATGTATATTTGACTAATTTTAGGTTAAGGTTCCCTCTACAGGTTACGGACGATATTACAGTTTAAATTTGAATTTTGCATGTTGTAATTTTGTGGATAAGAAGGGAAGTGTATTTAAAAATTTATACTAAACATCTATATGTTAATATTCTACCCATCATCAAGATAGTCATTCCTAGGTGACAATATCTGGCAAGCCTGTTTCAAATCACAAGGTGTTTGGCAATTTTATAAGGCTTCGTATTTGCTTAAGTCTCTCTTTACTAGAACTCCACAGCATCACAGAAAAACAACCAATCAGAAAAAAGTTAGGTACTATAAAACTCCCCTCCCCATACATAATTTCCTCTTTCTTTTCTGCTCTGCATCAGTACAGGTCACAGTACCACTGCCCCCTGCTTCTAGTTGGTGGCTTTGGGATTTATTGCTTATATACAGTATTTTAGTCTTATAATGAGTATTGTTATAATCTTTGTTGGATTTTATTCTTATAATGCAGTATGTTATATCCTTGTGGGATTTTATTCTTATATACAGTATTTTAGTCTTATAATGCAGTATTGTGATAATCCTTGTGGGATTTTATTCTTATAATGCAGTATTGTTATAATCCTTGTGGAAATTTTTATTCTTATAATTCAGTATTGTTATAATGTTTGTGGGATTTTATTCTTATAATGCAATATTGTCATAATCCTTGTGGGATTTTATTCTTATAATGCAGTATTGTCATAATGCTTGTGGGATTTTATTCTTATAAATGCAGTATTTTATTTTCCATTGTGGGATTTGTATGCTTATATATTGAATATCTTTTCTGAATATTTTATTTTGCCCTTGTGGGATTTATTTTATATGCAGTATTGCCTTGGTCCTTATTTACATTTTCCTTACACATGCACTTTTGTTAACCCCTGTGGGACTTTATTTTTACTTGTAATCTCAGACTCTTTGGGGTCCTCCTGTCTCCTCCATCCCCTTGGACTTGTTCCCCCATCTGTCTCCTAATTTTGTGTATGCCCGTTGTTATATTTTGTTCCGCCTTGTCCTTATTTCTGGCGGTATCTGTGTGCGCTGCTCGGGGGCTCCAGGAGGCTGACTGCATCTGCCTCCTTCGATCCCCCGAGCTCTGGGACCGCGGAGTTCATCTCCTGCGGTCCTGTTTGTTTTTTTCGGTCGCACGGGGAGCTCGAGAGCGTGCACGAGCACCCAGCGGCCAGATCTCCTTTCCCACGTGGCCGCTTTGCCGCGGCCGCCTCTGCCCGCGGACCGCATTTGTCCGACCAGGCGGGTGAGGGTGCGACCGCTTGCAGCCCTTCCCCCGTCTGTTCCTAACTGGTTAGAGGTCTGTTTGAGGGGCTTTCCTCCTCTCTGTCAA